AATGGTCCCTGGTCCCTGGAGCTCTCAAGAAGCTTTCAGTCTGATGGGGGAGACAGCCTTCAAACAACCACATCCAGACAAGAGAAGGACTCCCTCTCATTCCTGACCCCAGTCATCCAATACGCTGCCATCTCCCATTCATACTACTCCCATTCATTCAGGTCCTTTCCCTCATTTTCATTCCCGAGGCCACTCCCTTGGACTAGACAATTGTAATGGTCTCCTATCTGTACACATGCCTGCCAAAGTAATCTTCCTAAAGCACAGATCTGCTAAAGAGGCTTCAGTCACTCCCCATTGCTGACAGGATAAAGGTAATTTTTTTTTTAAGCTGGCATTCCAAGCCCTCCAGAATTTGGCCTTAATTTACCTTTTCAGCTTTACGTCTCACTCCTCCTGTTCCGATCACACTAAATTGTTTGCAATTATGCAAACTTGCCTCCTGTTTCCGTGGGAGAGGGTGGAAGGGGGACAGTGAGCTGGAATTCAATCCCCATTCTTACCTGCTGAAATCCTTCCCTGCCTTCCAGGTCAGGTCAGGTGCTACTCCTCCAGAAAGCCTTCTCTGGTTCTCCTGTAACCCAGCTTCCAATCAAAGAGCATTTTGCATGCTGTGAATTCGCCTCCTGGTTGGTGGAAGGGGTGAGCGCAGTGTCATGGACCCCTGCATAAGGGATGGACTGAGTCATTAACAGAGCTTCTTTGGAAAGACAGGTGCGCAGAGACCCCTCTGAAGGAGAAAGACTTGGCAATAGTAGACATACATGCCCCATCATGCTTCCACACTCTCTCAACATTCTAGAGCAGGGCTTCTTAACCTGAGCTCCGCAGCTGCCCTCCCTCTCCCCCCAAAAGCTCCACGGAGAAATTTCAGGGGGGTCCATGAATGTGGGTGGAAAAAAATTATTCTTATTTTCATGAATCTTTAGTTTCCTTTGTATTGTGTTTCATTTTGTGCATTTAAAAATATGATTCTGAGAAGGGGTCCATAGGCTGCCGCTGGGGTCCAGAACACAGAGGGCTAGAACCGCCCTTCTCTGGTGAGAGCTCTTGTTTTCTCCTGCCCCCAGCTAAGGAGCTTGATCAGGAGCTCTTGTGGTTTGGTGGGAAGGATCTAAGCTTGTGAGGGTAAGCTAAGGACCCCTCTACCCTTCTGTTTTTGGGTTTTGTTTTTTTTTTTTGGTTAGGCAATGGGGTTAAGTGACTTGCCTAGGGTCACACAGCTAGTAAGTGTTATGTGTCTGAGGCCGGATTTGAACTCAGGTCCTCCTGAATCCAGGGCCGGTGTTCTATCCACTGTGCCATCTAGCTGTCCCTTTCCTCTACCCTTCTGAAGATCAACCAGGGAAGCTGCTTCCCTTTCCAATCGAGTTTGTAGCCCTAGCCCAGGGATATTGGAGGGGGCAGCCTCGTACCCCTCTGGGAGACTAAAGAAAAGAAGGTCTACCTTCGTCACCTCAGGGTCCCACTCCTAATGCGCCAGTGGTACAAGTCACTGGTCTTTGGTTCTGCAGAGGCGGGTGAGATCTCAGATCATATCTGTCTATGTCATCTGCAAGCTGTGTTTATACATCTAGACTACCCAGGTGGCCACAGAATCTGACATGTGGGTGCACATATCTGACACTCCCAACTGGAGGCTCAGAGGAATCTTATCCCCGTCTTATCTCCCCTTCTCACGCATAAGCTTCTTGAGGGCAGAGCCAGTATGTGACTTTTGTATTGGCCTTCATACCCTTGGCACCTCACCCAAAAGGATGCTAGGTTGTGTAGGGGATGGAGTGCTGGACCTGGAATCAGGAACACCTGCGTTCGACATGTACTTATTAGCTGTATGACCCTGGGCAGGTCATCTGATCTTTTCTCTAAGCCTCAGTTTCCTCATCTGTAACATGGGAATAGTAATAATGGTATCTATCTGCCTGGGTTGTTGTGAGGATCAAAATGAGATAATATTTGTAAAGTGTTTTGCAAACCTAAAAGTACCATAGAAATGTAGCTATCATTAATCATTATTAGCCCAGTGTCTTGGACATAGCCAACAATTAATTTTAAAATGTTTACCACTGCTGAATCCGGTCTTAGTAGGAGCATCTAGTCGGGCCACACAGTGGCTTTAGGCACCAGCACTGGATCTGGGGGTGTGAGGGCAGAAAATGATGGCTAGGGGCAGCTAGGTGGCGTAGTGGATAGAACATGGGCCCTGGAGTCAGGAGGACCTGAGTTCAAATCCAGCCTCAGACACATCAGACACATAACACTTACTAACTGTGTAACTCTGGGCAAGTCACTTAACCCCAGTTGTCTCATAAAAAAAAAACAAACAAAAAAGTCTACTTTGAAACTTAAAATTGTATATTCTCCTTTTTCAATCTCCAAAGGTAGACAGATATTCCCATGACCCATACAGCAGAGGCAGTAGGTTCTGCTAGACAGAGGGTGAGCTAGCCTCGGAATCAGGAAGACTTGGGTTCAAGTGTGACACATCCAGGCTGTGTTACCCTGGTCAAGTCACTTAACAACACTAGGCAAATCTCTAAATTAAAAAGAAGGTGCTGGTCTGCATTGATAGAGAGAGTTCCTCACATGGGAGTTTTCTATGTTTATGAAATCACAAGTCCAGCCAACAGTCAGTCAACAAACATTTATTAAAGGGTAACATGCGTCAGGTGCAGTGCTGAGAGCCAGACACAGTAAGTTTTCATTAGCAAGTGAAAGATTCCTGAATATTCCCCCTTGGCTTGTATGGAACACTCCAATCATTCTTGAGGCTGGGAAGGTTCTTTTTCACTTTCTATAGAATCTACAGCAAAGATTCAGAAGAATCAGTATCCATATGACCAGCATCTTGTTGGGACAATTGTGGAAAAGATAGTGTCGCTATTTCAAATAGGAACCAAGTGTGCCTTCCTAAATGGCCTCATCTCACAGTTTCAGAGCTGGAAAGCAGGGGTGTGCTGGCAAATATTTAACAAGCTCTTGGAGGTGGGGTGGGGAATTGTATGCCTGACACTTTTACAGTTACTTGGCATTCTTAACATTTTCTCCATCACTTTCTTAAATCTAGGCATTCAACAAAACACCAAATCGGGCCCTGGTTGTTTGCCAATTTCTGAGCTGTAAACGCTCATGTTGAAAATTTAACAATCAGCTCTCACAGCTTCTATGAGATGGCTTTGAGATCATGTAGTTTAATGCTCCCATTTTATAGATGAAAAAACTGAGGTCAGGAAGATTAAGTAACTCTCCCAAAGTTACAGGAAAGCCCTAAGTGACCATTTAGGTCTCTCAGCTCCATATCAAAGGTCTGCTCTCTACCGCCTCTATCACCTTCTCCTTGGGTTGGGCTACACCATCAATAAGGTCCTTTCTGCTCTCCAGTTCTATAATTAGAGTTCCTATAAGGTTCTTTGTAGTGAGTGCAAACTTACTTCAGGGTATTTGGGCCACCATTTGCATTATTGTTTCAGTCTAGTCTAGATTGGGTCTTGTGGGAGCTGCTCGATCAATATTCTTTTTCATTCCTCTTAAATTACAGCATGCAAAGTAGAAGCTGTGTGGTCCAGGGACGGGAGGAGGGATTCCCTGTTCTGTTTTAGCATGAGTCACCAGGTAGTTTGGGGGCAATCACTCATCTCTGTCTCAGGGAGGGAGAGAGCTTAGCAACTTGAACAACTGCTGGCCAGCCCAGAGCCAAACCAGAAACAGAAGCTTGACCCCCAAATGCCAAAGTAAGGGACAGATGTCAATCCCTGGAATCCCAGGGTCTGGGAGGGGGGGCTGGGGGGATGCCAAAGGCAGGGACAGATCCCTGGAACCCCAGTGTTTAGGGGGGCTGGGAGGATGCCAAATGCAGCTGCCAATGATGTTTCCTATACTCCAGTCAAGGACCCCTTCTTTCTCTGTGCTCCAACTAGAGCCATCACTAGAACCCTGAGGTAGCAAAGGGATACAGCTGAGTGGAATGATCACTATTTTTAAGAAATGTGTCTCTCATAAGCACTGAAATGGCCCTGCAGTCAGTCAGCCAACATTTATTAAACGCCTGCTGTGTGCCAAGCACACTGGATTTAAAAAGAAAGGCAAAGCGCGGTCCCTGCTACCAGTTAGTGGGGAAGACACATGCCAAGTGTTGTGGGGAGTGGTCTTGGCGGGAAGGCGCCCAGGACGAAGGAGGACTGGGGCAGGCTGTGGGCACTTTACGGTTTGACAGGGAAGCTCTCCATCCCTCGACCCTTCCCACTTTCCCAGCTTTCTTCTCCTGACTGCCCTCCTTGCAGTCTCTGGGCCCAATGGAATTTGAAGCTGCCTCTTCGGACACTCAGCCTTTGCCCTGGCTGTACTCCATGTTTGGAATACTCTGCCTCCTGGTTTCCCTGGCTTCTTTCAAGCTTCAGCTCACATTCTGTCTCCTGCCCAAGGCCTTTGCTGCTCCCCTCAGCTGCTGGCTCCTTCTCCCTTCAGATCACCTCTCACTTACTATGAATATATCTCACAAACATCATTATTTTCATGTAGTCTCCTCCATTAGCCCTGAGAGCAGGGACTGTCTCTTGCATCTTTTTGTCTCCCCAGAGCTTAGCACGGGATACACACTAAGGGTTTAATAAATGTTTGTTGACTGGCTTTCTGTCTCGAGATGTCCAGAAGCTAATATTGATTTCTTATTGATCTTCTGTGCAACCCACCCCCACTCCCAGTCCATGCATTGAACGGCACTGGCACTTAATAAATGCTTATTGTTGCTGAAGCAGACCCTGTATGATGCCCTGAGCACCAGCGGGGGGTGGCGCGGGGCTCAGGCTCCTGGGAGTTGGGGCACCAGTTGGCACTGCCCCCTCAGGTCCCCATTATTCTCTCACTTTAGCCGCAGACGACGGCAGGAAGGGCTCTGAGAAGGCGGCCGGCTGAGGCTGGACGGGAGCGTGTCTCCGGGGAGCAGGGTGGACGTTGGAGGAGGGGCGCAAGTCTGGCACCTGTGGGCTTCCTTGCGCCCCAGGCGGGGCGAGCTGGAGAAACGAGTGCTCCTTAGGACCCAGGAGCTGCTCGGCTGCTGCTGCTGCTGCAAACGCCCTCCCCTCCCCGGCTAGGGGGGAGGCTGTTTACCAGGAGAGAGCAGCCCTGGCGAGCCTCGGACCGACCCGCAGCCAGTTCGCCGGCCGGCCAGCCAGGGAGCCGGGCAGCGAGCGGCCAAGCGCTTGGCCGAGGCAGCCTCAGGACCAGTGGCCGGGGCGGCTAGCCCGTCCGAGGATGCGCTCCGGCTCAGCCCGGCGGCCCGGGATGCAGCTGCCCCTGCCCTGGGGGCCCGCGCTGCTCCTGGGCACCGCGCTCCTGGGCGCAGCCTCGGGCTCCCGGGGAGGTAAGCCCCAGTCCGCCCTACAACTTAACGGGGAGTTAGGGGGAGGAGAGGAGGCGGGTGGGCGGGAGTGGCGAAAGCTCTGCGCTCTGCCTGTGCCCAGCCGTGGGCATGCTGTCCACAGCGAGCGAGGGCAGCTCAAGCTTGGGGCAGTGGGGCTAGGGGAGCTCGGAGGTCCACCTTTGGCAAAGGGGCAAGGCAGCCGGGGAGCAGCCTCGGGGCTGGGGCCGTGCCCCGTGGCTGCGAGCATCCTCCGTCTTCGCGCTCCCTGGCCTCCCCGAGGCGCAGCTTCCAGATGCTGCCGTTGGGCCGCGAGCGGGGCAGGCAGCCCTGCGCCTCCCGCTGTCAGTCCATCAGCGGCAGCTTGGAGCCCCGGGCAGTCCGAGCCCAGGCGCCTGCCCCCAGCTCTCCTTCCGTACATTTTCTCTTTCTCATTTCCTGCTGCGTTCAAAGGGCGGGCGGGGGGGGGGGTTCCAGTTGAAGACTTTAGATGGGAGGGGGGTGGATTTGGAGTCATGCCTAGTTTACATAACAGGGAACAACTCTGTCCGCTGCGCTAGGGGCAGGGCGGGGGTGGGGTGGAGGTGGTTGGGAGATGGATGCCCACCCACTGACCAGTATCCTCTGGGCAGCAAAGACTGCTGAGAGATAGTCTACAGGCACACAGTAGGCTTAAAGCAGCTAGGGCCCTTACATTTTCTATCTAGTACATTTTACAGATGCGCAAATTGGGGCCCAGAGAGGTGCAGAACTGGACTAGTCCTATCCAGGTTTTCTGACTCCAAAGTTAGGGTGCTTTGTCTCTGTGCTCTGCTGCCTCCATACCTGACCTGGGCACCGTGGGGATACATCAGCTACAGGCTTATGCCTTCTGTAGATGCCAAGGCCTTTCTTCTTCTTCACAGGCTGCTTCTGGGACCAGGGACATCTGTACCAGGCAGACCAGAGCTTCTCTGCGGATGGACTGCCCTGCCTCAATTGGCAGGAATTGCAAAGCCAGGGGACAGAGACTGTCACCACTGGTGAGTAGGAGAGGGATGAGGAAGGAGGGTCAGTGGGTGAGGGATGAGTGAGTAAGGGGGTGGGCAAGGGGAGGGAGTGGGAAGTGAGGGGGCAGATTGGTGGGAAAAGGAGGTGATGGGAGCTGGTGGAGGTCAGGGAAGGGCCTGGAGTGGTTGAATGGGAAGTGGTTAGAGGGATTATTGGGATAGGGATGAACTGGGGTGTGTGGGACCTAGAGTGTGTGAGTGAGAGAGATGAGCAGGTGAGGTGGGTGAGGGAAAGGAGTCAGTAGTGAAGGGATACAGGAGGTGAGGGAGGAGAATCAGTGAGGAGGTGAGGACATGAGTTCTGAGGTAAGAGAAGAATACGAGAAAATGGAGTGAATGGAGAGTGAAGAGATGAAGGAATTGGGTGAGGAGCTGAATTTGAGGGAGGAGATGGAATGAAGAATTGAGGGGAGGGAAGGGAATGAGGAAAGTGGGTGGGTGAGGAGAAGACAGAGGAGGTGAGTGAGGAGATGAGAGAGGAGATGGAGAAGAGAGAGGAGGAGAAGGAAATGAGGGAAGGGGTGAAGGAGATGAGGGAGGGGGTGGAGGAGGAGGAGGAGGGTGAGGAGATGAAAGAGGGGATGAGGGAGAAGATGAGGGAGGAGGTGAGGGCAGCCCAGGGGAGTGCACAGTTCACAGAGTTGGGGGTCAGTTCAGCGCCCCTTCCCCCCTCACTCTCTCCCCAGGGGCAGGCCCAGGCCGGACAACCACCCGGGAGAACCACAGCTTCTGCCGGAACCCTGACTCGGACGCAGCCGGGCCCTGGTGCTACGTGAGCGGCTCCTCGGGAGCCCCGGAGAAGCGGCGCTGCCAGCCTGTCCCATGCGCAGGTACAGCCACCCGCCCCGGGGCCGCCTCGGCCCCGCCCCCACCTCCTGTCATTGGCCACGATATATGGCCCCGCCCCTATGCCCCGCCCTCAGGGAACTGCCACGCCCTCCTCATCCTCCCTTTGGCCCTGGCTCTGGTCCCGCCCTTCCTCTGGCCCCCGCCTCTAGATCCGCCCCCTCCGCCTCGCCATTGGCCGCGGCTGTCTCTGGGCCTCGGCGCTGACAGGCCATTGGCTGCCGGGGCCACTCCCCATGAGCTCATTCTTCCCTAGCCTCTGGTAAACAAGTGTGTTCAACAAACCTGTGCGGCCCTGGTACATGGTGGGGAAACTGAGGCGGGGAGGAGCAAGGAAGCTCCCAGCGTGGGATCCCATATCTAAAGCTGGAGCGGCCCCAGAGACCCTCGAGACAGCCACTATTATAGATGGGGAAACTGAGGCTCAGAAAGAGAAAGGGACTTGGGTAAAGTGGCAGAGCCAGGACGCAAATCAGTGATCTAGGACCCCAAATTTTCACTCCACCATGCTGCTGTCAGAACTGGGAAGGGCCTTAGAACAAGGAATATCAGAGCTGGGAGGGAGAGAATGGCAGGGCTGGGAGGGACCTTAGAACAGGGGATGTAGAGCTGGGAGGGGCCTGAGAACAGGGGATGTCAGGGCTGGGAGGGGCCTGAGAACAGGGGATGCTAGGCTGGTAGTTCACTTTATATAGTTATTCCACTTTACATATGGGGAAACTGAGGCTGAGAGAGGGGCAGAAACTCCCAGAAGGGATGGAGTTTGTGTTAGCCTACTCCCAAACTGTCCCCTCCCTGACCTTTAAGATCGTCCACCACAGTAGGGAAGAAAGTCTTTGCTCAGAGCTGGACCCCCGGCTGGATTTCCAGCGGAGCAAGCTTGTGGTCTGGTCCTCATGCTTCCATTAAGTGAGCCCCCTTTCCCCTTCCCCCCTAGTCAGACAATTTGGTGTCTTCTAAGAAGTTTGGTGTATGTATAAGACATAGAGGGTGATGCCCTAAGTATATCAGGGGAGCACTGAAAAACTGACTTGTCAGAGCTGTGGAGAAGGGAAGAGTTTATGACCAGATGAGAGACAGAGGATCATGGGAAGCAAAATGGAAATTTTTCATTATGTGCAATTTAAAAGTTTTTGTACCGACAAAAGCAGAATGAGCTGGTGAATGAGAAGCAGAGGCCCTACCTTGCCCTCTCCCCTCCTGGGTCAAATCCTGTACTAACCCTTCCCCAAGTGTATGGGGCCCCAGATCTAAGGTGCAAGAGTCCCCAGGGGCTGTCACACAGAGGACGCTGCATCCGGGAAAGGGGCATGAAGCATCCAAAGTCATGCCAATATCGCGGGGTCATCCTTTCACAGGACTTTGGGTTCAACCCACCCATTTTACAGTTGAGAAAACAGGCCCAGGGAGGGCATTTCACCCCAGGGGCACACAGCTAGTAAGTGGCAAAGCCAGGATTTGAATCCTGGTCCTGTAATCTGCACTGCACTACTCATCAAGGCAATGTCAGTCAGAGAATGACCCAGTAACATTTCCTAATCACCTACTGTGTGGCGAGTGCTGGGGAGCCAAAGAAAGGCAAAAACGTGGTATCTGGTGGCCTGTCCGGATCCCAAATGTAGTGAGGAGCCCCCAGGTAAAATGACACTTGGGAATGGCTGATTTTACAGTTAGCTGGGAAGTGGGGAGAATGAGCAGTAATAATAATAGCTGACATTTATATAGCATGTTAAGATTTGCAAACACTTTACAGACATAATCCCATTGGATCCCTGGGAGGCAGGTGCTATTATTAGCCCCATTTTATGGATAAGGAAACTGAGGCTTGCCCAGGGTCACATAGCTAATAGGTGTCTAATGGGAAAAGCATAAGAGATGTGATTTTAAGGCCCAGCTGTGACAGTAGATGCTGGGAAGAGCACATCCTTTGGAAACCTCCTTCTAAAGGTCATCCTTTTAGACTGAGACAACTCTGACCAGTGCACTACCCAGGGGCATTCTTGCATGTGTAGGCAAGGATGTACATATGTGTGCATGCATGTGCATGTGTGTGTGTGTGCATGTGCATATGTGTGTGCAGACTCTTAAGGTCTAGGAGATAAAGAATACCCATGCAGCCATGTCCTTTCTGTCCCTGATGCTTGGTGCCTCCCCTCCCCCTCTGACCCTACCCTTCACCCATGTGCTCTGTTCCCCTCTGTAGGAGGGGTCCCGAGGTACCCCCATTATTTGGGACATTCTCCTGATGCCCCAAATTTCATTCTCCCTTTCCAGGGACCCCCACTCAGGAAACCTTGCCCCTCACCACTGACGCAGGGGCATCTCAGGAAAGCCATGGGGCCGATGGGGAAGTCTTCGAGGTCGCACACTCTCTGCCCCGTAACAGTGAGTCGGCAGCTGTGCAGCCCGTGATTGGGGTCAGCCAGAGAGTGAGGATGATGTCAGAGAAGAAAGACCTTGGGATGATAGGTATGCCCCGTCCCTCTTCCACACTCCCAGGGTTCCCACCTCGTCCCTTCTTCAATGAGGATTCCACCAAGAGGCTGCCCGGTCTTAGCCCGATGGAGGCGCTCATGAATGTCGCCCTCTTCCTTGGCAGGCTATGTGCTGGGAATCACCATGACGGTGATCATCATCGCCATTGGTGCTGGCATTGTCCTGGGCTATGTCTACAAGAGGTCAGTATCTTATTGCCCACCCCTCCCTACATGCATCTCTTTAGACAGGTATGCAGTATCGTACACGGAGTGGCAAATGACTATGGATCAGAGGACCTGGGTTCAAATCCTGGCCCTACTGCTTACTCCCTGTATGGCCTTGGAGGAGTCCCTTCCCCTCAGTTTCCTCCTCTGTAAAATGAAGGTGTTGGATTAAATTTGGACTAGATGCCTCTGAGGTCTCTTGCTGGAGGATTAAGGGAGATGTCCCTAATACATAGGAAAGGTGTGTGTCCTCATGGCTGCTGCTCTGGGCACTCTGAAGTATTCCGAGGCAGCTGGGGGAGGTGGCCCCACCAGGCTGCCTAAGGAGGAATGAACCAGCCCAGGTCAGAGACGGAGCTGATCAGAGCTCCTGGCCAGTCAGCAGTGGGGTTGTCCACACGAGAGGACACTGAATTTTCAGCCTGGATGAAATAGGGAGATCCAGTCTTAAAGAAAAGTGTGGGGGGTACATAATGGAACACCCCGAGGGCAGAACTATGCATTTTTTTTTAATCTTCTTTATGTCTCAAGTATTTATTTACAGGGAACCTAGCATATAGTAAATGCCTAATAAGTGCTCCTTGACTTTAGGCAAAAAATAATTGGCAGACAGAAAAATAGCTGTCCAGCCAGAGGGTCCATCCCAAGGGTGGATGGCTCCTTGCCTGCTTTTGGCATTTGAGGTTTAAATTTCGTCAGGGATAAGCTTCTTTTGGGCAGGGCCATTTGTAGTCGGGACACATCCTTTCCCCTTCCCCCAGTGTGCTCAGATGAGGTCTGGTTAAAATGACAATTGAGGGTAGCCTTGAAAGGGGAGAAGTCAACATAAGGCCAACCCAGGTTGGTCGGACTGATGTGATGCCCAAAGGAGATCCCTGCCCTGTGCCTCAGTGAACAGCTCCATGCAGGGGGTCGCTGCCCCGTCCTCCACCATAGGGTGCTGGAGGACGATGGTCAGTGTGTAAGGGGAGTAGACAGTGCTATGAGATCTGATAGGGGGTAGTCCAGCCTACAGTGGTCTCTGTGACCCTATTTGAGGCTTGATTATTGAGACAACAGTGCCTGAACCGTACTAGGCACTGTGGGGGGATATAGAAAAGAATAAATACCGGACACTTGCCTACAGGAGGCCCTTGCCCCATTGTAGCTTTTGCTGACCTGGGGGCAGGATCCACAGGGGGTGCACAGGGGGTTGGGGGGGCACCTCAGTGCACCCAGGCCTCGAACGGTGCCTGGCCCGTAGTAGGAGATTAATAAATGCTTGGTGAGTCCTTAAGTCAAGAAGCCCCCCTCCCTCTCTTGACCTCTCTTCCTCCTGAGGGATAAGATCTGCAGTGCCCTGGGGAAGGCAGTTGGCACCATGTCTGGGCCCAGTGCCTGCCTCCATTTTGTGCCCGCCACACCTTCATCCCCAGAGCTGTAGAACAGGAAATGAATTAAGAGTTCAGATACAAGCTCCTCCCGGGGCTGATTTTAACCCTTTTAAAGCAAGGGAGGCCGGGCTGCTTAACCCACAGAAGCCCCAAGCCCTAAGACCATCTGCTCTCTGCACATCCGGGGTCAGTGGAAGAGGGATGGGGCTGGTTTTGCTGGCCCCAGAGGGCAGGAGGGGAGGCATCCCGAGGACAGGGATGAGAGCTGTCCTCAAGCGGACCAGCTGTCGAGGGCGGCTGGGGGCGCCCCCACTTTGAGGGGCTTTCAGGCAGGAGCAGGAAGGCCACTTGGGGAGGATTCCTCTTTAGGGCCCCGTCTCGTGAGATGGCCTCACGGCTGCCTTCCAGCCCCAAGTCCGCAGAATGTGCTTTTTGTTCAATGGGAGTGAAGGGTCACTGGATGCCAGAAACGGCTTTGTCCAAGTAACTGAACCTACTGGCTTGTTGCACTACGTCTTCAGTCTTCCTGACTGGCTGTGTTCATTTGGGGTCGATGTTTTAGAGCGGCAAGGACATCGGGTCCAACCGCCTCATGTTACAGAGGAGTCCACTGAGGCTCGGGGGGGGGGATCGCACCCCACTGCTCAGCAGCAGGCTCCCTGACCCCCTGGGCCCCATTGATCTAGCGTGGCTGACTTTGCTGCAAGCGACCCGCTGTTTGGGAGAAGCCGAGGTTGACTTAATGAGGTCCTCCTGTACCCTCTTCGGCCCAGGAAGAGGAAGCGAGGAATGAGACCAGCAGGTTGGCTCCCCTGGTGTCTCTCCCTGCCCTGTTTGCTGCCCGGCTCCTGTTTTTGGCCCTTTAGCAAGGCAGGAATCAGGTTACTGCGGATCTGTGGGATGGAGCCTTCTATTAACTGGGAGGGTGCGGGCAGGTGGAGGGAGCGTTCCCCTTGAGGACGGTGACCCTGGAACAGGGTGGCAGGTGGGGGTGAGGATTGGAGCCCCCCCAACCCCCTTGTCCAGGGTGGGCGGGAGACAGTGTGCCTGGAAGGGGCTGTGGGATTCAGCGGGTTGATCCAAGGGTGTCAATGCCTCCCCCTCCCCGCAGCAGTCACCTTGGCCGGGCAGAGCTCCAGTATGGCTCTTGTTTGCTGATAAGAAGCAAGGAAAAAGTGTAAGCTTACACCGCTCCACCCCCTGAGGAAAGGAGGGGAGAGTCAGTGAATACAATACTTGTTTCTCCTTGGCCATGACAAGGGACTTTTGTTGCCCCCTGAGCCAAGCTATGAAAAAGGAGGTCAGAGAAGCCAGACAGGAGAAGCCGGGGGTCCTGTTATTATCTCATCAGGAGCTGGGGCAAGTTGCAGCCTTGGTTTCTTCACTTGAAATGGAGTTGGCAGTGCTGGGAAGCCTCTGAATGGAGGGGCCCACCTGGGCCAATTGCCTGAAGTGAGGGAGGCAGCCTGGTGTAGAGAAGGAAACTAGATGGAGACAGGAGACTCCGGGGAGAATCTCGACTCTGCCTTTCAGCTAGTGGGTAACCCCAGGCAAATCACTGCTCCTTCTCTGGGCCTCAGTTTCTATTTCTGGACCGTGAAGAGGTCAGACGTGGATTCCTCGGGCCCTCTTAAGTCCTGTGATTGAAAAAGTGAAGCGTAGGTCCTCATGGTAGAGCTTCATGTAGGTGAGACTGACTGTGCCTTCATTTTCTGCTGTTTAAAATGCTCCTAATCAAGTCTCCAAAGCCAGCCCCCCACTTGCTGCCATTGTAGCTAAGACCACAGAATTCTAGGTCTGGAAGGGAACCTGGAGGCCCTCTGAGTTCAGCCCTCTCCTTCTACAGAAGGGGAAACCAAGGCCCAGAGAACTGAAAAGACTTGCCCAAGGTCATACAACCAGTAACGGCTTGCACAGGATCCAAACGTCAGTCCTTGGAGCCCCAGTCCAGAGCTCCAGCCCGCTGGCCGCTTCAGGCAAAGTCTCCCTGGGAATCCCCTCCAGAGTTTGGCTTACCTTAGCATGCTTAGGAGCCCAGTTTTAATGGTCAGTTCCACAGGGGGTTGTCAGGCTCGGGGGAACTAATCTATAAAAGCCAGACATATACAAGTCTGGGCAGTTACTGATGTCAGTAAAGAAATGTACAATCCAACAGTAAAGCAGCTGGGCTGGTTCCATGGCAAGAGGAACAGAGGGAGAAGCCACGGAGAACCTTCCAGCCCTCGCCAGTGGGTGGGCAGATTGACAGGAGGCCATGGACATAGCAAGGGGAAAGGTCCAGATCTGCGAGGTCACAGATCCTTAGGGAGTTATCGGAGTAGGTCAGACACTGATCTACCACGAGGACGGGGGTGGATAGGGCCAGCACATTCTCTTCCTGGGAGGTCAGCCTGCTTGGCAAACCAAGCTAAAATGGAGGGGGGGGGGTCTAGAACCAGAAGGAACCTCAGAGATCCCTTAGTCATAAGGATCCTGGCTCTGAGTCTGGAAGGGACCTCAGAGGCCATCTGTCCAACCCCTCATTTTACAGATGAGGAAACTGAGGCACAGAGAGACTGAGTGATTTAAGCTTCAGAGGCAAGATCTGACCCTTTCTCCTTTTTCTATTCCAGTCAGCCAACATTTACTAAGCACCTACTATATACCAAACACTGCAGTGAAGTGCTGAGGGTACAGAGAAAGGCAAAAACAGAGTCCCTGCCCTCAAGGAGCGCACAGTCTCATGAGGGAGCTGACGTGTAAAATAACTCAGTACATACAAGATACGCACAGAGATGATGAAGGAAATCTGAAAGGGAAGGCATTGGCAGCCAGAAGAACTGTGAAAGGCCTTTTGCGGAAGGCAGACTTTGATCTGAGTATGGAAGGGAGCCGTGGAAAAGCAGTGGCAGAGAATCCAAAAGCTGGGGGGGGGGGGAGGAAGGGAGGAGATACAGCCAGGGCAGAGGCACAGAGATGGGAGATGGAAATGTGTGACAGGTGGATGGGAGCAAAGGGTAATAAAGCTGGCAGGGGAGGGAGAGGCCGGGTCAAATGCCACAGGACTTTGATGTTGGAGGTAGCAGGGAGCTGGCAGAACTCACTGAGCTCTCTCTCTCTCTGTGTGAGAGAGAGAGGGACAGAGAGAGAGAGAGAGAGAGAGAGAGAGAGAGAGAGAGAGAAAGAGAGGAGAGGAGAGGAGAGAAGAGAGGAGACAGAGAGAGAGGACAGAGGGAAAGGGAAGAGGGAGGAGAGAGGAGAGAGAGAGAGAGAGAGAGAGAGAGAGAGAGAGAGAGAGAGAGAGAGAGAGAGAGAGAGAGAGAGAGAGAGAGATGGTCAGACCTATACTTTAGGAAAAATCACCTTGGCAACTGAGAGAAGTGGGAAGAGAGGGGGCAGGGAGAGAAACCGACTGCAGTAGATAATAGATGATTTCCAAATCGATATACCCAACCCTGAGCTGGAGTTGAGTTATAGTCATCTCCAAAGAACTCTCGGCCATTTTGAATTGGACATCTCATAGGCATCTCAGACTTACCATCTTTCCCCTATTCCAGACATCTCTGCGACTGTCCAGGGTACCACTGTCCCCCCAACAGAAGGTGATTGCACTAGTCTGTAGAGACACTGAGGGCCTGAATGAGCATTGTGGCTATGCAGTGATGAGAAGAGAATGTACATGAAATATTGGGAAGGTAGAAACCATAATATTGACTATGTAGGGTGGGTGAGAGTGAGGGATTGAAGAGGAAAGACACTGAGGTTGCAAGGTGTGATTGTGGGAGGGTCAGTAGATACGGAGAGATTGATAAAGAGAACTGGGATGATTGAGAGGCCTGGAGAAGTCAGAAGGGGCTAGCTAGGGTCAAGGGCCATGGAGAGTGATCTGCCTTGGCAAGCAGAAGGACCCTTTGTCTGAGAGCAGAATGGAGAGAAAGTAGAGTGGTGCAGACATCTGAATGATTTGAGATGAAGCAAGAAATCTGTAGCTGATAGGGAGCTAGGAGGGAAAGCCCTTATGTTGGAGGACAGTTGGGAAGATCTTGAGAGACTGTTGAGCTGAATCTAATGGGATGGAATTGAATAGGGATCAATGTAAAGTCTTTGAATCGGAGTATATTCCAAACAGTTGGTTTCCCAAGCACCAGACCAGGGAGAGCTGGGATTGCTAGTGGACTGGACACTCAGAACAAGCCCACTGTTTATGGCAGCCATGAAAAATTACATCCCACAAGGTTCATGTCCAGGCTCAGACATCTTGGGGCCTGCCCTGGCTGGATGGCACTCGGAGAACCGCATTTAGTTCTGGCTGGCACACTTTAAGGATGCTGATGAACTGGAGAATCCAAGGGAAGGCAAACCGCACATTGGGAGGTCTGGGAATTGTGGCTTATTAGGAGTTGAAGAATGGCGGATCAAGCGGGCTATTTCCTGGGAGAAATAAAAAATGGGGTCTGCTTGGACCCAGAGGGAAGACCAGTAATGTCTGGATGCTGCAGTGAAGCATAGTGGAGCTTGAGAGAAGGAAGATTCCCAAGAATCTGGGCTCTCCAGAGGGGAAAGGCCGCTTCAAGGGATGGTGGCTTCGAGCAAGGCCTGGAATGGGTATGGAACGTACTGTAGAATGTCAGACTTCCTTTTGTCCCTTCTTTTCTTATTATAAGGGATGGCTTCCCTTCCAGGCTGGACCTTAAGGTTTGCTGTCCATTTTGAGAGAGTGAGGCTTTCTTTACCGTCACTCCTCACAATCTAGGGGAGAGACTGTGGGATGTAGAGGTGACTCGACTCAGTGAACAGTGCTTTGAGCTCAAGGGTGGGGACTGTCATTTATGCACTGGCCACAAGGCCACCATGCCTAGTTCTGTTTGTTGAGCTGACTGGATTGTCCGCCTCCATGACACTTGAGATAAGATGTGAAAGAAGGAATCCAGGCACGAACTGTGACTTGATGGTGTTTTTCATTTTCATTCTTTCCATCAGGGGGAAGGACTTCAAAGAGCATCGTGAACAGAAAACCTATGAGCGGGAGATGCAACGTATCACCTTGCCTTTGTCTGCCTTCACAAACCCTGCATGTGAGATCGTGGATGAGAAAACCATTGTGATTCACACCCATCGGACTCCTGGGGAGGACACAAAGGATGGCAGTGCCCCCCTCATGGGCCAGGCTGGCACACCTGGGGCCTGAGCTGGTGGCCAGTGGGTAGGAATCTACACTGACACTGACCTTCCCAAGCAGGGAATGGCTCTCGTCTTCTGTTACGGTGTTTTTTGGGTGAATTCCAGAGGACAAAGGACTGGAGGGGGGCCCTGCTTCTCCAGTAGGGTCATCCCTCGGGGCGGGACTTTGCCCATGGAGATGACTGGAGCAACAGCTGGAGGGGTGCTGTCTACAGGGACTTCCCACAGAACCCAAACCGGGGACAGGGTGGCCTTTGTCCTAGTCCTACTTCTCCCCTTTGTGCTCTAGAATTCCACATGGCCTTGGCTTCCTCCCTGTCCCTGCCTCTAGAGGTGTGAATGGCACATATAGACCGTTACCTTTGTATTTCAGGAAAAATGGGAGCTTTATTCGCATCAGGGTCATTTGGTGAGTTGAGGCCTCTCAGCTGTGTTTGTGGCCCCTCGAGGCCAAGAGTGCGAGAATCGGAGGGAGGATCAGGTATATTTCAGGGTAAATGAAGCCCAGGGCCGATACTCTTCCGGGCCCAAATGAAAAGGAAGAGAAGAAAACATACTGAACATTCCATGTAGACTGAGGCCTGAGCCAGGTGCCTTAGGCCAACACAGGCAGTCGGGGCTAGAAGCTCCGGACTGAGAGACGTCAGGAAACAATGACAATATTTTAGGACCCACGATTGTCCAAGGAATCAGAAATGTTGTCAGTCAGTAATTCCATTGCTGGATCCTTCAGACGTCCCCAGGACAAGCAGACAGGGTTCTTTGGGGCTCGCCAAACTGTGCCCCCCCCCCCAGCCCCTGAAAGTCCCTGGCTGCACAGGACGGTGGCGGAGAGACAGGCTCGCTCCCACAGTGTCGGGGTCTCCAGTCCCTCCTCCAAGTCTTTCACTGCTGCTCATAAGGCCTTAGGAGGAAGGGAGGGACTTCACCAAACCTGCACCTTCTCCCCACCCCCAAAATCCAAGCGGCTCTAAGGGTGTGTGAGTATGTGTGTGTGACCGCACCAGCCCTGGAGCGGTGGGCAGCTCCAGTGTAAGAGCCGACCTTGGCATCCACACGCCTGGCTTGCATGTACGCTGCACACCACAGACTCCGCCGTGTTAGTGGTTCTGACTTTTTTTTAACCATTTCTGTGTGTTTTATATACCTCATTCTAACACCTGCACACTGTAGGCAGGAAGCCACTCTGGATTCAACTTGGTAAAAACACATTAAACAGGACAAAACTCACTTGTGAGCACTGTCAGCCGTCGGGTAGAACACCCCACCCCGGGGAGCTCCTCCTTGGGGAGGTGGCTCTCTGGCGACCTCGGGCTGTGGCCCAGAGTTGGAGTGTACCCCTAAGCGATGCTACAGAGGAGCAGCTGGTGCCCGTGCTCTGCTCACAATGAACGCTGAGGGTGTTGTCGTGAACAGTGTAGGAATCTGGTTGAGAGGCCTTAGAACAGGGGATGTCAGGGCTGGTCTTTGCAGATCATATAACCCAAACTCCTCCTCACTTTACAAATGAGGGAAAGCCTGGTTCAAGGCCACATTCTGGTGGGCAGTGAGTGGCAGATGGATCTTTGTGGTCACCAGGACCACCTCCAAGACGGTTTCTTGGTCCCTCATTGCCCAACCCAAGCATTTTCCAACAAGGAAAGCATAACCATGTCTTTCTGCTCCGCAGCCCAGATCATCTTAACACTGGTTCCATCAGCTACATTTATTGCTTCATTTACTGAAGTCGACCCAATTGCCTGGCTTGCCCCTCCTCTTTTCACACTTGCTGTGAAGAACACTAGCTCTTGCCCTCTTGGGGGAAGGAGACAGCTCTTGCCTGCCTGACTTTGCTGGGCCCCTCCTCACTGTCAGGCCCACCACGTCTTGCCACCAAGGAGTCCCTAGAGGCCTACAGCCAATCGACACAGCTCCCTGGAAAAGTAAACTTTAGTCAGGAGATGATACCCAGTTCCACAATTCATCAGGCCAATAATCACTATTTCACGTATTTCTGTCACAAGAGCTAACACAAGAATATTAACAGCATCCCCCTTCCCCACATCTCAGTAACCCCAGCCCCGATTCCCTGACTGTCAAATACAGTGTCTGCCTGCAGGGACGCTGGAGAAGGCAAATCCAGCTGTGAGGCTGCTCCTTCCGATTCATTTTTGGGAAAACCAGCCTCGGTCAGCACCCACCACTGTAGACCAGGGTGTGTCCTCTAGGCCGGCCAGGGAAAGAGCACCGTCAGTTTGACAGGGTGAGTGGGCCTTGCTTAGGGGGCTCATTTTCCTCACTAAGTTTCAGGTGGGGAATTCTCCTTCCCCCAGATCACGTCTCCTTCCCTCAGCAGAGAAACGTCTAGGTGCACCCCCTCACCAACACAGAGGACCGAAGAATGTCAACAGCACCCACCGTGCCCAGTAACAGGAATGTCCACCCTGGCATCAGACTTGGGTGTCTCCCAGTCTTAAGGCCATATCTGCCAGCAGCTGGTACTGACCCTTGCTACCATCATAAAGGACTTTCAAAGTCTCCTACAGCAGGCCTGCCTTGGAGGAAGTGGCAGCAACCATGAGTGAAGTTTGCAGGGGGAGGCTTGAGACTTTGCCCCCCCGCCCCAGTCATTGGAGGCACTGGAGACGCTCGGGTCCCGCAAGAAGACTTGCACACAGGGTGGTACAGTAACAGATGAGCCCTGGAGAGGAAGGGGCAGACAGGGTGGTGCACAGCTGGCCACGTCTTGCTCCCAAATGTCCACCACGGCAGAGACCCAAACAAGGCGTCTGCACGCGAGGGGGCCCCAAGGAAGCGGCAGGTTCAGGCCCCCCTCGAGGAGGCAGCAGGCTTCTGGGTGCCAGGAGCATTTCTTCACAGCTTGCAGTCGAGGTGTGAGTTTGGAGATGGTGAAGGGGCACACCGCGTGCCCCAGAGATCTATCTCCCAAGCAGTAGTGTTGGGCACGTTTTCCTCCTGAGGAGGTAGCAGAAAATGGCTTCTTCCACTCTCAGAGGGAGCCACAGATCCACAGGAAACCTCAACTTGGCCAAAGTGGGGCTGGGTCACTACCCCATAAATGGGCAGTGTTGTGCCTTGTAATGCCCTGCAGGTGGCTGGGGCGCCACGTTTCTCTTGCCACACGGCTGGTGGCCTGGGGGAGCTTAGGAAAGGGAGTCTCGGCTCAGTCCATACTGCATGCTCACATCATGGTCCAGCTCCTCCAGTTCTGAGGGCAGGGGGGATCCCCAGCTCTCCCAGGTAGAGGGAAAGTGCTTCAAAGGAATCTTCCAGTTTTGAGAATGGGGGTCTGGAAAAGAAAACACACAGCACCTCAGGGCCAGGGATCCTCCATGGTCGCCACAGAAGGCCTGGAAGACCAGAGTGTGCCCTGGGGAACGGAGAGGCCCCTAGTCTTGTGGAACTCCAGCTCTTCCCATCTGCCTGGAAAAGGCTGGCGCTCCCTCAGACGCATCAGACTAGCTTACAATTTGACTGCCGCGCATGTTTCTCAGAACACATCTATCAAGCTGTTCTCATTTTACAGGTGAGAAAGGTTTGGCCAAGGTTATGAAGCTGGACCCTGGTCTCAGGCCTTCTGACTCCAAGAGCCGGGTGCTCCCGCTCTAGCCCACTACCTCAGAGAATCGGCCTCGACAGCCCAAGAGGGCCTTCCAAATGAATGGGCCCTTTTTCACACTAAGCGCTCCGAGGGGGCTTAGACTCTCAAGTCTGGTAGAGAGCGGGAGGAAAGTGAGGGGCTGTACTGGAGGCCCCTCACCATCACCACTCACCTGCTTTCAGGCTCCAGTTTGCAGCAGATGGCGGCAAGGGGAAAGAAAGCCGGGGGACAATCTGTGGGCACAAACTTCTCCCAGAAAAGCTTCACATTGAGGCCAAAGTCCAGTGTGCGAGGGAGACAGTCAGGGTCAGCATATACCTGCCCGATGATCTGTAGGGAGACCCGGGGGAAGTCACTAGCAGCAGGATAGAAGGGCAAGCTTCTTGGTGGGAGTGCAAGATGGGAAGAGTAAAGAGACAAGCAGAGTCCTCCTCTGGCCGGACACAGCCCAGCATTTACTCCTTGTGTGACAGACACACCATGGTTCTCAACTGTGGTGAGAATCTCAGGTCTCAGTCTCTGATGTGATGGGAGCTGTGCTAGATGCTGGATAAAGATACAGCAGTGGCTGCCCTCCAGAAGCTTACCCTCTACTGTAACAAGTACACAATACGAAGGGTGTCCCAAGAAATAGCAAGCGATAAGTGGAAGGGAGGTTCCTGAGCTTTGGGGACCAGCTGGGCGATAGCTCGGAGCCCCCAAAGAGGGAGCAGCCAGCAGGGAGGACTGGAGAGGGTGTGAGGTGCACACCTGTAGGGACCATGACTGGAAAGACTGGTAGATGGGGGGCTAGGTGGTGGAAGGCTGAGGAGCCTCTCTTGGATCCGGGGAGGCAATGGGGAGCCAGTGAAGATTCCTGAGGAGGACAGGGACAACAGGTAGAGGAGGCAATGGAGAGGGGTTCACAAGCTTGAAGGCCAAGAACTCAAAGGAGTCCACGAGGCCACTGAGTCTAATCCCTGCATTTTACAGATCACAGACTTAGAGCTGGGAGGCACCTCAGAGGCCGCTCAATTTACCGGTGAGATAACGACCAGTGTCGCCCAGGTACTAAGTGGCAGAGAGGGACTGGAAGCCAGGCCCTCGGACTTCAGATCCAGGGTTCTTCCATGTACCACACACTGACTCGCAAAAGAACAGAGAGACTACCCTGGTGCCAGCCAAGAGAGAGGAATGGACACGAGAAGTGATGGAGGGCAAGGACCCCCAAGCTGTAGAGATGGAAAGAAAAGGAAGAGTCAAAGATGACTGACCTCAAGGTGGCACACCTGGCTGACCAGAAGGGGGGCGGTGCCTTGGACAGAAATGGCAGCCAACTGGCTCTTGGAGAGAATCATAAGTTCTATTTTAGATGTGTCCAGCTCAAGACGCCTCCAGGACACTGGGGTGGGAAAGGACAGCAGGCAGCTGATAATATGAGGCTGGAGATCAGGAGAGATCTGGGAATCACCTGGATCTAAGGAAGCTAATGAGATCCCCAAGAAGGAAGAGAACAGGGCCCGAAGCTAAGTCTCGGTGAACGTCCAAGGTAACTCCAAAGGAGACTGGGTAGCCAAAGTCAGACCAGAAGCAGAAGGCGCTGGCACCAAAGCTGCTCGAAGGTCCAGACGACTGACAACAGGCTAGGGACTGGGCAGGTCAGAGATCACGGGCAACGGCGGAGACGATGATTTCAGCTAAGTGACTGGCTCTGTGGTTCGATTTCCAGGGACTGAGGAGTGAATGGGACGCGTGAGGAAGGGAGAGGCGACGAAAGCAGACACCCTTTCCAGGAGGTCAGTTATGAGATGGAAAAGAGATATTGGATCATAATCGGAGGGAGACAGAAAGGGGAAGGGCAAGAAGTTTTTTTTTTTTTTTAAGGATGAGGAAGGCCTGGGCATGCTTGTACGTATTAGGGAAGGAGTTAGTGGATGAAGAGAAACTAAAGATGAGAAACAGAGAGGGGGTGATGGAGGTGCCCAACTCGCAGAGAAGGTGTTAGGTCTGCAAAGCTTAGCCCAACTCTTTATCAAAGACCCAAGTCAAGGAGGAATGTAGGGAGGATGCAGAGAGGTTTGAAGGGAGGGAGGAGGACTTCTGGTTCAGCTGCAATAGAGACTGTCGCCCAGGGGAGAATAGAGAGGCATGCCTCCCCCACCACGGCTGTGTCCCAGTGGACAATAGTGAGGGTCCAGCTCAGGTGAAATCACAAACGTGGAGAGAGCTCAGCCTTTGGCAGCGTGTGAGCAGGACCTGAGAAGGTGGCTGGGAGGGAAGCTTGGGCAGGTGTGCCCAGCAATAGGACAAGAAGGCCCTAGATTCTAGTGCTGAACTGGCAGACCATGAGGGAGCATGGGAATCCAGGTTTCCCTGATTCCAAGGCCAGCGGCTAGTGTCTCCTGGGACACCCTCATTGCCTCCCGCACTTTTTACCATAGCCTCCCCAGCACTTAGCACAGGGTTGAATCAAATGGATGGGCTGCAACCCGCACTGGCGGAGAGAATGGCCACATCAATGAAAGTGTGTTACTGGCCATTGCTTCAGGTATGTCTATCTTGTCTGTCTCATAGACATAACCTCCTTGAGGACAGGGAGTCAGTCTTATTTGGCCATCCTGAGGAAGGTGCCCAAGCCAGAGTCTGCCCCTGACTGTATCGTGCTGAGCTGGGGTCTGAACTCACCTCACAGAGAACTATTCCAAAGGAGAAGACATCCACAGTCTCATCATAGCTCTTTCCTAGAGGAACATGAAAGAGGAGGGGTGAGTACTTTTTCCCTGTCTTTTGCAGCTAGGGCTGGGCCTCAACCTCAGGGAGGTGGTGAAGGCTGAGGGGCAGGGGCAAGGATGCCAGGGCAGGCACCGAGTGACCTTGGTCTTGACCTTCAGGACTAGGTTGAAGGGTGCTCACTGGGGCAAGTGCTCACTGGCCCCCAAGGTGGCAAGGGCTTCTTAAAAGGGATGGAAATGACTGTTTCTACAAGCCTGCCCATGCGGGGCAGCCCAGGCTTACAAAGCCCCAAATCTTTTAACCCCAAGAGGATATTCTGTATGGACCAGGACTGGCTATTTAGGACAGTGTGTCCCAGCCAGGAAGAATATCTATGGCCTGGGCCTGAGCTGAAAGTGAAAAGAAAGCTTGGCTCACAAAGACTCTGCCCTGGCTCTGCTGCCACAAGCAGGAGAATGGCGCTGAGAACATCTGCACTTCCTCCTCTCAAAGGGGCATGAGCGCTTTGAGATCTGCTGAGCCATAGCTTGCCTCCTCGGGACAGGCAGGGCAGACAGACAGACAGACAGGCAGGCAGGCAGGCAGGCAGACAGACAGGCAGAAAGACAGACAGGCAGACAGAAAGAGAGACAGGCAGAAAGACAGACAGGCAGGCAGAAAGACAGGCAGGCAGGCAGGCGCTCCTTGTACCAGGCAGGGGCAGCATGTAATGGAAAACAAAGAGGGAAGGGCTAAGGGCTTGAGGGTGGCAGCAGCTTGCCTGCCCATCTGGCTGCTGGAAGCTGGTCCACGAGGGGGAGCCACATTCTGGTGCTTAAGGAGGTGTGGGGGGGAAAGAATGCCCACGTGGGCACACGCTTTTGGCCCTCCCGGGGTGCCTGCTCACCATTGAGCATCTCGGGGGCCATCCAGTAGGGGTTCCCCACCACTGTGTAGCGCTTTTTGCGGTCACTCTTGCGCAGGGTGCGCTTCTTGGTGGAAGCCTTCTCCGAGCAGGGCTTCTTCCTCTCCTCCACGATAAGCCTCGAGAGGCCAAAATCGGCCACCACAACAGTCTTGTCCTGGCCAAAGACACAAAGCAGGTCCGTGACCAACCCCTCTGGCCAGCAGGCTCCCAACCAGAACAGCTCAGAGGGCATTCACGAAGCCCTCTCGGGGAGGTGGGCAGTGCCAGTATTATGCCTCTGCTCTACAGAGGAAGGAGTGGAGGCTGAGAGGCCGAAGCCCCCCAGCTCCAAGCGCTAGAGCCTGGTGTTCTCCTCACCCCACACACATCACTGGCTGCCAGGGAACGCTCCAAAATGACGTGGGGGCTTCTTGAAGGTGGCTATGGGCCATGTAAGGAGGGCCTGGGGTGATGCCATGTCTGATGGGGGTTGGTGAAGGAGACCCCGGGGTGGAAATGGAAATGAGGGCCGAATCTGGGAGAAAGGTGGCAGTTCATGAAGGGGAGCTCGCGTAAGCTTGGGAGAGAAAGGAGGAGGATGCAGGAGAGATGGGCCAGACAGCAGGGTGGACACTAGAGGACAGCAGAGGAGGTAGCCCAGCGGGCCTGGCACACAGAGCCAGGGGTCACAGAGCTTGGCCTCCAGCTGAGAAGGGAAAGTGTCGCACTTCTTCGTCTCTGCACTCCCCCTGGAGCTGCTGCCGCCTCCCGTTCCCCAGGTGAGGCAGAGGCCCACCAGGCAGGGTGGCTCACCCCCAGGGCACTCACCAGCTTGATGAGACAGTTGTGGGAGTTCAGATCTCGGTGAATGATGCACATAGAGTGCAGATATGCCTAGAACGGGAAGGAGCAGTGAGCCATGTCAGCAGAGGCCGGGCCCTTCTGGTCAGAGCTTGTCGGAAGCCGGCTTTCACAGGCACGGCCGCCTCCAAACTGCCTCTCCGATCCCCGCTCCGCTCCACCTGCTGGGCCCCGGCCTCCCATTTGCAGCCAGTGTGAGCCAGGCCCTCAGGCCCTCCCTGCTCTCCTCTCCTTGGCTGCCTCTTGGGGATATGCTTTCTTCAGAGCCTTAGTTCCTCTGGGAGTGCCCCATTCCTGTTCTGGGAGGTGCATGGCCAGGCCTCGTGGAACAAAGTCACTCCGTGAGCTGACTGGGGCTTGAGCACTCTTCTTCCAGAGGTTCAAGCACTGTCAGCCCACCCTGGTCCTCATCTGGGCAGACAACTTCACCAGCTACTTGGCTAAGAATATCCACAGGACCTCTCTCGGCTCTACCACCTCTTCTCAGGATAAAAAGTATGTCATGTCTTTTTTCAGAATGTGCTCCATCTTGTCTGAATATTTAAAATTTTTTTATTCTCAATTTAAATACCAAAAAAGAACATCTCCATACACATAGAACTACAGGAAATGAAATCTCCATTTCACCCTACTTGCTTTAAAAAAAAAACACAAGAAAAGTACACAATAAAAGCTATGCTTCACTTTCAAAGCTGTCCTGGCTGTCAGTACTTCCTTCAGTTTTCTTTCGTGAATTTTAAAAAATGTTCCAATGGGGTCTCACTATTAATAGCGTCCCCCTCCCCACTCTCCTCCAACACCCCTCTAGAACAGGAGGGCTTAACTTGGGGGCCCCTGGAGCAATTTCAAAGGGTATAAGAATTTTTTTTTTAATATTTTGATAATGGTATTTCAATATAATGAGTTTCTTTATGTGATATGTTTAAAACCTTTCTTCCGAAAAGGGGTCCCCAGGCTTCCTCAGACGTCCCTAAAAAGGTGCATCCTGAACCTCTCGCTCTGCCCTGGCTCCTCTCCTGCCCACATACAGGCTTAGGGATCCCCATCCCTTGTCTCCTCTCAGTCAGACCCCTGGGACAGGCTCCCAACTCGTCAGCCCACCCCCAATACGCCCCAATCCATCCTCCGTAAAGCTGCCAAAACAATCTTCCTAAAAGCACGGATCTGACTGGGCCAACGCCATTCCTCCACTCCAGGCTCACCCATGCCTACAGAATAAAATGCCCCCGATACCCCTTTCAGCCTGGCACCAGAGGGCCAGACTCACCAGGCCTACCTTCCTTCATCGCCCTCTGAGCCAGGCTTTTCTGCCCCCTCTCCAGGACTGGAATGCCTCATTTCTGCCTCTCTGCTGGCCAGCCTGCCTCCTTACCCTCCAGCCCAGGTGTGGCCTCTCCCATGAAGGTATGCTACATTCCCTAGGACAAAGTACCAGCTCTCACCATCTGGTTTCTTTCATCCTTGCTGGCCAGAACCTGTCTGCCTCCTAGACTGCAAACTCCTTGAGGGCAGATCGGGCTGCTTTTCATCTCTGTATGCTCTTAGCACCCAGCAATGTGGTGGACCTGGGGCTGGCTGAAGAGGGGTTGTCCTGAGACTGCCCCTCGAGTCCTTTCTTCCATTTGCCACTAAGTTTAAAACCGTTTGCAAGGCTGTCTTCTGTTTTACATCAGCCACATCCCTGCCCTCCCTGAGGCCTGGCTCTTACTCGGGCACCCCTAGCCTTGGTAAGAAGGGAATCAACACTCACCGCTTTCACTGCACCCCGCCCCCCACAACGACTGACTCCTAAGTGCCTCAAAACCTGCTCTTTGCGCTCATGCGCTCGAAGTCATTCTCTGAGCAGGCCTCAGCGGCTCCTCGTCGCCAAGGCCACTGAGGTTGTCTGTGTGTCTGTCTCCCACATTCCAGTCCCACTACGTCGTTCTCATGGGTACCTCAACGTCAACATATTCAAAACCAGACACCACCACCCTCCCCCCAGCCCCCCTAGGTCTGCTGGGAGCATCACCGCGCTCCTGGTCACCAGGTGTGAAGCCTCCATCATCTTGGGTTCCTGCTGTCTGTTCCCGTTCAGTGACTCGACCCCGGGATCTCTGCGCCCTCCCCAGCTCCCGTCACTCTCTCCTTCTGCCTCCTCTTTGCCATTACCATGATCAGCACCCTCCGTCAGAGCTCCAGCCCAGGTCACGAGTCTCTGTCCCAACCAGATTCATCTACGTTCATATTAGCCTTCCTAGAAATAAAGGTCACTTCCCTGCTCAACAACTTTCCGTGGCTCCTCTGGACAAGCCACTCAGCCCAGGGCTCACCGCCTGTCCAGCCTCTTTCTCAGGGTGGGCTCCACCTGCTGGTCTAACTGGATTCTCCCTGCTCCCCAGACAAAGCTGGCCATCCTCTGCCTTCACGCCTTGGCTCCCTTCAGTTCTACAGACTGTCCCTGTCTGACACGCCCCACGGGGCTGGTCAAAACCCCATCTCTCACAGTTCGGCCCACTCACTGTTTCCTCCAGGAAGCCTTTCCAGCTTGAACCCTGGAAGCAATTGGCTTGCTCATGGCACCTATCAGATTCTCCCTCTGATCAGATTCTGTATGGACACACTTCCTCTCCCATGACCATAAAACTACTAACAGGTAGAGCTGGGACTGGACTCAGATCTCCTGATCTTGAGTGCCTCTGGACATACTCACCATCCCAGAGGCGATTCCTTTGGCGAAGCTGACCTTCTGTTGCCAGGGAAATGGGTCCTGCAGGATAAGAAGGGCTGTCAGCCCTAAGGGAGGCCCTTGGCACCACACGGGGACATACAGGGGGGTCAGTCTCTACCTTGAGTCCTATCCCCGCCCGAGGGCTTCTGGCTGGAGGGAAGGGAAGCCGCTCAGTGACCATCTAGCCCAACCCCCTTATTTTGTAGGTGAGAGAGCTGAAGACCAAGGGCAGGAAAGAGCTTGAGATTCTCAGACCAGGTCATCCTGACAGATGAGGAAACTAAGGCCCCAAATGGGCAAGGAACAAGATCATGGTTATATACAGCCTTACTGACAGAGAGGGGCCTCACACCCGTAAAGCTCCCTCCACTACACACTGGTAGTTCGTTATAAACTGACTACTTGTTCACCAGTGTTAACAAGTCTAGCTTTGAACCTAGGTCCTCTGACTCCAAACCCAGCGTTCTGTCCATCACACACACATGCCCTGGGCATCAGATGCCCATGAGGACCCACCCCAAACAGGGCCATGCTCCTTGCTGCTGCTGCTGCTGTGAGCTAACACAAGGGAGCCTATTGGGAGCCCACCCGTCGGGACCCTGGCCCTCCACACTGACCACGCTTCGCAGGAAGTCCTTCAGGGTGCCCCCCTCGATGTACTCTGTCAGCAGGTTCAGCTTCCTGTCCTTGTAGAGGACCCCGATAAACTTGAGCACATTGGGATGGTCCAGGCTCCTCATGACTTTCACCTGAGAGGCAAGAGAGCATTATCGCTGGTGAGGCCTTGCCAGCCCAGCTGGGCAGAGAGAGAGGGCACCCCTTCTGCCTCTGGGGATTAGACACTGAGCAGCTTGATGGACAAGTAAAACCAAGACAGACTGTCGGAGGCAGCTTGGGACTGCCTCTGTCCCAGGGACTCACTAGTTGGTGTCTGTATAATCTGGCAGGCCAGCACTGTCATCATCACCAGTTTATACCTGAGGAAGCTGGGACAGACAGAGGCTATGATCCTACTGCTGCTGAGTGTCTCAAGGCCGGGTCTGAGCTCAGATCTCCCTGATTCCAGTCCTAAAGCTTGACCCACTGCTCCAGCACCTCCGGGACATGTGCTACAAAGCTAGAATTGCCAGACTATGGGGTGAGAGACAGTGAGGAGCGGAGCAGGCCTCCTGGGCTGGGAGCCTGAGCCTTCTACAGTCCCAGGGAAGGTTGGGGGCCAGGGGACAAGCTCAGAAGCTCGTTTTGGACACAGTAAGTTGAAGATGTCTACCGGACAGCTAGCATGGGTGGTGCCTGAAAGGCAGCAGGAGGGAGAGACAGACTGGAGGTGGACAGGGAGGTCAGGGCAGGACTCTGAGAAGCCTCAGCAGAGACGAGGGCTGAATTCACGGGAGCTGATGCGACGGTCAAAGCAAAGTCCCTAAGTTTTCCCTCGGCTGTTCCCACAGCTTCCCCTTCAGAGTCTTCCTCAGGGCCCACTTTTAGCTCTCAGGGAAGATTGCACTGGCTCTATCCCACCACTAACATGGCCCTGCTTCTGGGAGGGCATCACCAGTCCTACTTGGAGTCCCTGGGTCTGAGATCTCAGCAGACATCCACAATTCTTCCTTCTCACTCGGCCCATCCCATCTTTTCCAGCAGACTGCCCCTCTATCACCCCTACTCTCTTACTTATCTACAGCATCTCTCCTGGTCTGCCAGCTTTGGCCTACAGACATGACCACATCACTCCCAGCTCCCCCATAACCCCTCACTAGCTGAGTTCCATCTCTCTCCTCCCATTTGTGGCTAAGCTCCCTGAGAAGGCCAGTTTACAGTAGAAATCTCCACTTCACTCCCTTAACTCTTTGCAGTCTGGCCTCCTCCATCACTATTCCACCAATACTGCTCTCTCCGAAGTAACCAATGAACTCTCAGTCACCAAATCCAGTGGCCTTTTCTCAATCCTCAGTCCGGACCTCTCTGCAGCTTTTGACGCTGCAGATCAACCTCTTTTCTCTAGGTTTTTGGGACACCCCCCTCCCCCTGCCCCTCTCCCCCGGTTCTCCCCCTCCCTCTCTGATCGCTCCTGCCTCCTTTGCTGGATTCTAATTTAGGTCACGCCCTCTCACTGAAGGTGTCCCTCAGGCTCCTCCCGGGTCCTCTTCTCTTCTCTTCTCTTCTCCCTCTATACTAATTCACTTAGTGCTCATCAGTTCCCACGGATTCAACTCCCTCTCTATACTGATGATTCTCAGACGTATCTGCCCAGTCTGCACCTCTCCACTGACCTCTAGTCTAGTCTTACCTCCGCAATCGCCACCTGGACCTTTCCAACTATATCTTAAATTCAATGTGTCCCAAATGGAACTCTTCCTTTCCCCCAAACCATCCCCTCTTCCAAACTTTCCTGTTATAGTCAAGGTTACTATCATGATCCCCAGTACCTGGGCTGGCCACGTAGGTGTCACCTGAACAGCCCTTTCATTCCCTCTATCTAATGAGCTGCCAAGTCTGGTCATTTCTGCCTCAGTAACATCTCTCCACTACAGCCCCTTCTCTCCTCTTGGTGCTGAGGCCCTCATCACCTCACTCTGGGCCAACAGCCCTTCAGAGGGCTGCCCTCACTCGAATCCACTCCTGCTCAGCTGCCAAAGCCATTTTCCTAAAGCATGGATCCCTGTTTAATCAGCTCCCTGTCACCTCCAGGGTCAAATAGAAAAGGCCTGTTTCGGCTCTTGAAATCCTTCTCCCACCTTCCATCACCATGGCCACATGGACTGGGATCCCTTGACACTCACTCTCCTGCTGGTCCTAGAGCCAGGAGCCCCCCTGCCTTCCAGCTCTCTGCTCCAGGTGTTTCCCCTGGCTATCTTCAGGCCTGGGGAGGGGGGTCCTGCCTTTCCACAGGAAGCCCTTCCTGATCCCCCTCATGCTGGCGCCTTCCTGCCTATAGCTCATAAAAAGGCGTTTGCACGCTGTCTCCCCTTAGATGGGGAGCCCCCTGAGGACAGGGACTGTCTTCTGCCTTTCCTCGTGCCCCCTGCCTCGGCACAGAGCCTGGCACACAGCAGATGCTTAGTACATGCCAGCTGATTGCCTCATTTCTCCCTCCACATCGCCACATCTGTGGCCCTCTCGGCTCTCACCACCACCTAGTTCAGGCTGTGAGGGGACCAGCCTCCTAACTGGTCTTCTGGCTTCCTGTTTTTTCTCTTCAATTCATCTTCCAAACAACTGGCAACCAATCAACAAGCTTTTATTAAGTACCTACTGTATGCAAGGCACTGTGCTAGCTGCTGGGGACACAAACCCAAAACAGACAGTCTCAGGCCTCAAGGACCTCCCGGGCCACTTGGGAAGACAACGTCTACATCGTCGTCGACATACAGAAAACCCATTTGGGTTGGGGGCATCTGGGGGACAAGGGCACCAGTAGCTGGGGACGGGGCGGGACAGGCCTCCTACAAAAGGCCACAGGAAGCAGTTTGAAGGCCCAGATGACAGCCCAGGCAACGGCCTGGAGAACAGACCCAAAGGCCTCTGGACTCTGCGGTGAGTCAGGCTGGACAGCAGAGGGCAGGAAGTGGACCAAAGGAAGGTCAGAGCCAAACGCAGCAGTGGCCCTGAGGGCACACTCTCTCCTCCAATCTGTTTGTCACAGCTTCAAGAGCCTAGGGCTGAAAGGGGGCCTGTCCGCAGGCTACAGCCCTCAGGGGAAGGGCTATTTCTTTAGTACCTCAGCCTTGCACACAGTCGCTACTTAATAAATGCTGCCCTGAAAGAAGGTCATTTCCATCCTGCTTTCTGAATAGTTGGTTCTTAGAACAGAAGAAGGTGGACTGTTCTCAGGGCCTCCAAGGCCCATCCTCCATACCTCCGTTAGGAAAGTCTTCTGTGTCTCCTCGTCACATCGGATCAACTCCTTCATAACCATGACCTTGCCGGTAGCCTTGTGTGTCACCTGTTGGAAGATCGAGGGGATGACCAGAGGAGTGACTGCAGACATCCCTGGGCAACTCACTAGCAGGGGCTTCTTGAGCTGGCTGGACAGAAACACTGTGGCTGAGGGCCTCGGGGCTCCGGCTGGGAACCCCTACACCAGGGCCTCCCAGGCTCTGAGCGCCATCGGGCGTGAGCGTTCACACACATTCAGAGCCAGCACGCAGGAAGTCTGGGGGGCGCATCAGGGAATATACATTTCTCCCTGAAGAACTGGTTTGACAGTGGACACCACGAACCAGAAAAAGGAAATGGGAAGCAAGACAGGATGGAGCGGGAAAATCCATGATGTGTCAAGACAAAGAGGGATTCCAGCCACTGGGACTCAGAGCCGCTTGGGGCAGGGTCTGTAGGACAGCCGGGCACTGGGAGCCAGGGAGTGAGGGAGGCGCCATGCTTGCCTCTCCTTCCCTTCTCTGGGACAAGATGCACTTAAGATTCAGGGAATGCACTGCTTACCTGGCCCCACCTCCCATCCATGTGCACAAAGGGAGGAGGAGAAAAACAAGCATTAGTCCCCTAGGCTGCTAGCTGTTCCAGGGCAGGACCCAGCTCTCGCCTCCCAAAGCCCCACCAGAATAGGTGTTTGATAAAGTAATCACTGATTTAATAGAGAGGGGGCCACTGAGACCCAGACACTAAAGCTGCCCTTGGGATTAACTGGGCCTCTACAGCCAGATGCGACATGGGCATTCCCATTTCTAGGCCCTCCATGAGCTTAAGTGGGGATTCACCAGGTGGAACCAGAAGGTTCAGAGAAACAAGGAAAGAAGTATCTGGATGAGAATGCAGGGTCAGCAGCTCTGCCCCTGGCCTGCCCCCTCCTTCCCCGCCATGCCACCTCCCAGCAGCCTTTCTTTTCTCCCTCCTCCAACCTAGTCTTCATACCCCTGCTGGGTCACAGAGCTAGTCATGCCACTTCTCTTTCCAAATGTCTCCCTTTAATGGCTAGGCTTAGCACGGAAGGGCAGCCACACACTGCCTCTCTTGTTGCAGCCAAACATGCTGCATTAGCCGATTGCTGCACATGCTTCGTGCTGGCTTAACTGAACTGAACACAGCCCACAGAGCTAACGGGCAGCACAGACGACGCTCCCCCACGCGTCCTCACCTTGATAGCCTGTCCAAAGAAGCCCTTCCCCAGGACCTCTCCGTGGGTCAGGTCACAGGGCCGGAAGATCTGCTGAGAGTAGCTGCTCGAGCAGCGCAGAGATTCGGAGCGGCTGATGTCTCGGCTGAGCAACAGAGGCTCCTTGGGGGAGCAGGGGCCCGGGGACTTGGAAATACTGTTACTGCGCCTGGGGAAGGATGGTCAGTGGGACAAGGGTTAGGGCCTAGGCAGGCAGGGCACGTGCTAGGATAACCACTGGAGAGACCCCGTGCCACAGGTCAGCAGACTGGGCCTTTGCACAGCTTGCCAACGGTCCTGAAGTCAGTCCAAGTGGCAGGCTGCTTGGGGTGGGGGTGGGAGGTTCTCCTGGAGATCTCCAAGCAAGAAGCAGATGGAGCACGTGTCAGGTGAAGCAGGGATTCCTTGCAGATATGGCCTCCCTCTTTTCACACTCTCTTCATCTCAAAAGCCTAGAACATCAACCCCCCGTGGGGTCTCTGCCAAAGCGGTGGCAGCCTTTCTCACCAAGGCCAACCCCTTCCTATGGGTCCCTGACCCATTCCCAGCACCCAGCATCTCTACTCTTGCTACTGATCACTTCTTTCCCTGCTGCTCTCAAACACACTCAAGTCCCTCTCATCCTTAAAGAGCCTTTGGTAGACCCAGCGTCCCCTTAAGCTATTGTCCCACCCCTCTCCTCTCCTCGGCCAAGCCTGAGAATGAGCTGTCTACACCCACCGGCCTCTCTTCCTCAGCTCTTTGCAATCTGGATTCTAACCTCAACGCTCACCTGAACCTGCCCAGTCTGTGGCCTCTTCTCTGTCTTCCTCACAGTCCTGTCAGACTGTCAGACACAGCTGACCAGCCTCTCTCTCTTCTCTGGGCTTTCCCAACACCCTTCTCTCCTGGCTCTCCCCGAACTCGGGGGCTCCCCAAGGTTCTGCCCTCAGCCCTCTCCTCTTCTTGGGAACCTCACTGGCTCTCATGGGTTTAACAACCATCTTTATACAGATCTCTCACACATCCGTCTTGCCCTCGTCCGCGTTTCCTTTTTCAGCTTCTACCTTCGCAGCCCTTTCTGGCACCCTATCCGTTCTCTCCCTTCAGCCAGCTCCCCCCTTCCTTTGGCCCCCATCGCCACTGAAATCATTCAGCAACTTCCTGATTGGCCTCCCTCCGGTCCAGCTGCCACACTGCTACCAAAGTCATTTCCACAAGCTCAGATCTCACCACGGGCCTGCTCAGCTAACCCCGGCCTCTGGGATGAAATTCAAGTGTCTTTCTCTAGCGTTCAGAGCCTTTCCCCACAGTCTCCCGGGTCACTGCTCCCCTCCCCAGGATCCAGCCAAACTGCCCCTCTCTGCGCCTCCCATTTCTCTAGCTTTCTACCAGCCATGCTTCGTGCCTGGAACCACCTCCCTCCTCACCTCTAGGCCCAAGAGGCCCCCTCTTTTCTCCTAAGGTGTAGACCAAGCATCATCTTCTGCGTGATGCCCAGCTTCTCCCTCCCTCCCTTCTAAATGGCCTTGTCTTTGGCTAGTTTGAATGTTATTTGCGCTTATTCACTTTCATGTGTGTCCTGCTGTCTTCCCCGTTGGTCTCAGCTCCGTGCAAGAAGGGACCGTTTCTTTCTTCGGCTTGTCTCCTGGCACAGTGCCTGCAATGCTCAGTAATACTCCTTAACTGACTGTCAACTGATGAGTTTGACCAGAGCTTCTGAGGTTCCTTCACTAGCTCTCCAACCCTCACTCTGTGGATGTCCTGTCCAGAAAGTTCCTCAGCCCCAGTGGACCACCCCAGACTGGCCAGCCGAGCCTGACCTCTACTAAGGGAGGTCTGCTAATGAGGGAAAGCTGGCCAAGAACGATCCTATTCCTTTGTCCCCCAGGCCTCGCACAGGTCAGGGCCACACCTGAGAGATCGCCTGCGCAGCATCCCATCCTGGTTCTCCTTGACGTCCAGAGCGCTCCTGGCATGAGGGACCCTGACGGTCTTCACGTGGGGGGAAAGCCGGGAGTCCAACTGTAGGTGATCCAGGCGCTGGGAGACAGGGTCGTGCTCAATCAAGAGCTGAAGGGTCTGGCTCGTCTTGCCAATCATGTCCTCCACCTGGAGGTGAGAGCGGAGTGAGCCGGCTGGCTTTCCAGAGAGGATGGCCTCTCCTCACCTATTCTCTTTCTCCTCCCTCCGTGGCTAAGCAGGCTACAAGGAGGTGACCCTCTGACCGCTGACCATGTTCTTCTCTTATGGATGTCTTCAGTTCTCAGAGGGGGCTCTGACCCTGCACTGTCTAAACAAGCTTACTAGAGGCCTCTTCTCTGTACCTCGCTCAGTCAGGTGGATGTGGGAAATCACAAGCATCTCAAGAGGAGAATCACAGGACATTAGAGCTGGGAGGGACTTTGGAGATCATCTAGTTCTCCACTTTACAAGTAAGGAAGCAAGAAAGGCCTCTAGAGGAAAAGTGACTTGCCCAAAGTCACCAGTCTCCAACCCCCCATGTTCAAAGTCTACACTCCACCCCACCCCCATCTCATTACCAAGTCCAGAAAGGGGAAGAAGGATGGACCAGGGAGACAGAGGGAAGCTCTAGGATCTGGGCCTACTCCCTAGCAATAAGTCAGCCATCATTTTCTAGACACGATGGAAGGCTCCAGAATGCATACATACCTCCTCTACCCGCAGGGTTCGGACAGGGGTCCCGTTGATTTCCAGAATCCGATCTCCAGGGTGGATGGCATTTCGGACATTTGGGCTGATGTGCATTCGGCTGACCCTGAACAGAGACAGAAATGCAATGGGAGAAGAGGACAGGTCAAAGCAGCCCGATTCACGTAGATGCCATCGATATGGAATCCGGACGGGCTTCCTTTGTGCAGGGTCAGAGACGCCTGGGCATTTCTTCCCCCCTCGCTCGGGACAGCACAGCCTGCCCTGTACGATGGCATGACCCAACACTTCAGGCCTCAGGCCCCATTTTGCCTTTCCCAAGTCTGAGACCTAGGGCTGGCTGACAGACAGCAAGGGAAGGCAAGAAGTCCTGGGGCCCAGGAAGGGAACCTGTGGGAAGGGATTTCCCATCAGGCAGGGACTGGGGAACTGCCCAGTCTCTGAAAGCCTCCAGGCCCACCTCTGGGGAGTCTTGGATACTTACTCATTCACTTGTACAGTGGTGGCATAGTTGGAGCAGGCACTTTCGATGGACACAGAGAAGCCTCTCTTGCCCTCAGTAGTGGCTGGCATGGAGATGAGCGTGACGGAGTAAGGCAGCTGGTCATGGGCGGACTCCGTGGACAGCCTCTCAAACATGGGTGTAAGCACCACCTCATTGTAGCACTTGCCACTACGCAGAGAAGACAATCTGTGAGCTGGCTTCTTCTCTCCACACAGGCCCTGCCAATCCCCATCCCCATCACTCCTGTTCAGGGAAGGCCACTCAAGGCCCACGGGACACCCAGGCACTCTGCTACTTCTGGATGCAGGCTCCTCGGCAGAGGTGGACTTGAGAGTAATCTTGTTATATTACAACCAAGTCATTTCATTTCTATGTTCTCAACTGATTCTTTAAACAACTCTGTGAGGTAGGCAGGTCATTTTAGAGAGGAGCAAGTGGGGTGGGGCTTGTGCAGAGGCTGTCTCCCCCCACCCAGTGGCAGCATCTGCTGTCGTTTTACCAGTACAGAGTGGAATGCTGAACCAGGGCGTATGCGTCTCCATCCTCAATGATCACCTTGCAGCTCATGCAAGCAAAGCATTCTGGGTGATACTTGTATTCTCCAGCTACCTGTGTGGGGAGGAAGGACGGGGAGAAGGGAGATGGGACAGGTCTCCTATTATCCAGGAGACTTGATCATTCCAAATGTCTTAGGCCAAGAGGGCCTCGATATAAGCCATGTGCTTAGCACACTGACTTCTCAGGAACAGGCCCGGAAGCAGAACAGGGCAGTACATGCCTTGTTCTAGCACAGGGACAACACAAGACATTCCTGTTTACTCCACCAGCCTCGCTGAAGGGTCTCTGGCCCAAACGGAGAGAAATACCCACATCCCTATACTGAGTCCCAGTCTCAGCAGGAAGGGGTCTCCGAGGTCGTTAAGACACGTCCTGGGTGAGACGCCTGCCTCTGGCCTCCCTGACCGGCCTCAGCAACTCCCAACCGCCCATCCTGGAGAGCTCCAGCTCCTCGGCCAGGGATTCTCCCAGCTCAGGCCTCCACACCTCAGACTGTTCTCTGTGACTAGACCCTTCTCCCCTTACTTCAGAGGCACTGAGCCTGTAGACGCAAAGCTCCAGGTCCCTAGAACCAGATTAAAATGGGATTGGGAACTGTCTCACAACATAACACAGTACAGCTAGTGTCAATCTGGTGTTTTCTAAGGCTTTCTATTTGCATTTGACACTGTTGCCTTACCTCCCATCTTAAAAGGCACTTGCCAGGTCATGCTGTTTGTTCATCAGTGTTGGCAGCTTACTCCCTACTAGATTATAAGCTTCTTGAGGGCAAGAATCATGTCTTAGCTAAACTATCCTCCAGGATCAGATACAGAGTGTCCCAAAAGTCTCAGTGCAGTTCAAAAGCAAGTAAAGCTTAAAAGCCCATCCAAACACCTCTGGCTTCCAGTGTGGATTCATTGGCTGTTACCCCTATCCCCCCCGCTCTCACTCCAAGCACGCCATCTCCCATCTTGGTGCCTTTGCACTGGCTGTCCCCCACGCCTGGAATGCCCTCCCCCTCCTCACCTCTGCCTCAGGAGGTACCACAAGCACCCTCTTCTACACGGAACCTTTCCTGTTGTCTGACGTCCACCCAACTACTGCTCTTTTGTCACCTCCCCCGCACCTCCAAAACCCCGGCCTTTTCCTGGTTCGAATTTCCTGTGTGTGTGTGTTTGTATGTGCGTAGGTCCTTGCTTTCTTCTCTGCTAGGATGGAAGCTCCCTAGGACACGGCTTGTCTCCTTCTCTGCATTCCCAGGGTCTCCCTCTGCATCTGGGGCCATTAGCAGTCGCCCTGATCGATATCTGGCCACCGGCCCCAGGTGGCTCCGGAGGACAAAGTGAAGCTGGCGACTCTGCACAGCCCCGCCCCATGTCGATCCCATTCGCTTGCACGGCCAGGCTTCACCTCCCCGCTGTCATGGTCTTCTTGGAGAGCCAAGGACAAAGCACCACAACTCAGGGTCTAGCACAGCCCCTGGCACACAGGAGGTGCTTACTAAAGGCAGCAGTTTTTTCGTTCATCTTTACCTTTCTAGAGTCTGCACTTAAGGGCGAGCCCTCAGACCCGCCTGCCTAGCCTCCCCCACCTGACACTCCGATGAGCTTGCAGACGGACACCAAGACGCCCTTTCCAGAGATGACGTCAGAAAGGGCACCGGCTTCCTTTTCCCCTCCACACCCTGAAGCTGTCTCTACATTGTGGATCGTTACCCCGACCCAACGAAGGAGACAAGAGACCGGCAGAGAGAGCCCCGGTGTTACGGAAACAAAGGATTTCAGTATGGGGAGGGGGGACCCCCATCATTTTACAGAAAGAAACCAGGCCTAGGGCAGGGCCGAGAGCTGGGAGCAGCAGAGCCTGGGTCCCCAGCTCACCATCCTGGACTTGTGGAAGCCTGGGCAGAGACTGAATGAGCCTCTCGGGTCTCCACTTTCTCATTTGTAAAATGAAAGGACTTGACTAGATCAGTGGTTCTTACAGCCTTCTTGGTGTTACAGACTTAGAAGTCATGTTTTTAAATATACAAAATAAACATCAAAGAATTGCAAAGCCAATCAATTCTACCAAAATACAATTGTCAAAATATTAAAAGAAACAAGTTCCTGGAGCCAGGTGAAGCCCTGGCCCCTAGGGTGCTTCCAAGCTTCCAAAACATTTTACAAATATCATTGCATGACAACAGTGCTGTGAGGTGGGAAGCAGAGGTGTCTGTTTCCATTTCACAGAAGAGCAAATTGAGGCTCAGAGGTAAAAGGCCCACGCTGACTCCAAATCCAACGCTCGCTCTATGCACTCTATGAGCTCTAAGCCCATAACCCTAAGACTTGGCGACTGGGACTTCTCTCATGGTGTGTGACGCTCAGCCCCTCTCGTCTTCCTGAGCTCATCAGCAAAGGCCTCGATGAAGGCCGAGGGTCAGGAGCAGGGCGTCTTCCTCCCGAAGGAAGCTTCGCTCCCTCGCTGTATAGGATCCATTCTCTACTCTCTGAGCCACCCCAAGGCCTGCCTTCCTTCCTCAGGATCGCGGCGCTGCCGGGTGCCACTTCCCTAGGGAGGGGCAGGCAAGGGGAGAGGGGGAAGGCCCTTGGGAGGGCCTGCGGCCCTGCAGACCGCTCAGTGGGTACCCTGGGCCAGAGCTGTAGCCAGGTGATCCAGCCCTGATACTGGAGACCTGAACCCAGGTCGTCATCCTGGCCCAGGCCCCACAGAGCCACTTCTCCTTCCAATCTCTGTTTCATGTTCCCAAGCTCCTGCTCAGGCAGTGACTCTGGCCTGGAGAAGAAGGCAGTCCTGTGCCACTGGCTGAAATCATGGAAGGCTGCTCACTGACTCCTGGCAATGGGAAGCCAGAGGGGTTCCTCTCCGAGGAAACTCCTTCCACCAGCACCCACCAGCACTGGACAGTCTTAAAAGACCTGCTTGAGGGGCAGCTAGGTGGTGCAGTAGATAGAGCTCTGGCCTTGGAGTCAGGAGGACCTGAGTTCAAATATGGCTTCAGACACTTGACACTTACTAGCTGCGTGATCCTGGGCAAGTCACTTAACCCTGACTGCCTCACCAAAAAAAAGCAAAAGAGTTGCTTGGGTCATTAAGAGGTGAAATGCCTTCCCTGCCTGTCCTGATTTAAAGCCTAACTGTCCTCTGTCCTCCGTCCCATGAGGCCTCTGCCTGGTACCCCCAAGGGATGGCTGGCTCTGTCAGCTCTGGTGCATCTGTGGAGGCTCCCACCAAACCAAAATGATTTCTGCCCTTGTCTTGGCCACCTCTCCTTTCCCTTCCAGGGCCAGCTCAGCTATCCCTGACCTTCCAGCTGAAGGTGACCTTGTCCTCCTGAAATTCACTTAGCCCACACAGCTCCCTCCTTTGCCCCGATCACATTTATCTGTGTCCCTGTCTCATCCTCCCCTAGAGTCTGAGCTCCTTGAGGTCAGGAACTATCGTCTCGCTGTTTTGGGGGTGAGGGTGGAGTTGGGATGAAAAGGACCTCAGGTCAAAGGGGGTCAGGGCTTTTACAGCTCTTTCTGCAAGCTCGCTCTGACTCCTCCCTCCTGGTCTCCCTTCATTAATCTCCAAGCTCACTCTGTGACAGACTGGCTCCTTTATGCCACTCGGTTCTGGATCAGGGGCTGCCCTTCTGGGAGCACTCTGTAAGCCCCAGGCCCTTATTTCCTTGGACTGTTTCCTGAGTGGGAGAAGCCCCAGGTGGTAGAAGAGAATGAGGAACACATAAGCAACTGGAGACACTTGTTGAACTTCTTACAGTCCAGGAAAGGACTAAGAGGAGAACCAAGTCCTTACCATGACAGGCCCCGTCATGAGTAGCGAGCAGCCATGGCAGAATTCTCCAAACTTCCCCCAGTAATCCTTGTGGCAATAAAGCTTCCCGTCCTTTTCATAGTACCAGTTGGTGAGAGGGTCCTGACATTCTGAACACCTGAAACAGAAGAGGAACAAATACTGGGGGACTCTGTGGAGGTCCAGTGCTCCTGGTGCAGGGCTTGGTGTGGTTACCCATGGTTTCTCACCACACCCTGTGAGGTGGCTGGCTCTTGGAGTCTTCCCATCTTACAGAAGAGGAAACTGACTTTTATTGTGGCTATATGGGCAATACTAGCAGTGCCTAGCACATCACCAGCGTCTGCTGACTGACTGACCAGCTGAAGCTGGGGCTCTACAATCCACTCCTGGGTTTTCTGTCTCCACGTCCAGCATTGCCGGTGGAAAGACTGATTACGTTCTCTCCAACTCAAAGCTAAGAGACAGAAAGAGGCTGTTTAATGATTCCTCCTCAGAGGAGCCAGGGACTAGCCTTGAACGGAGGAGGCCACAGCCTCTGTTACGGCGGGCGTTCAACTCGGCGCTAATTCCCTCGGCACTGCACGTCGCTCCGTTCCGACACTGGCCTGAATGCTAATCTCTGCTCACATTCCGCTAGTTGCCTCAGACCCACTTTGTCCCTTCACCACCACACTTGGTGCTCTTGCAAACAGCAGGGTATTCATGTATGCATCCAGACACCCAGCAAGAGTCATCTTGGAGGTGAGTGCCGGCTCCACTCTTTTCTACGGGGAGGACTCTGGCCCCCAGGAAGGAGCCTCTCTTGACCCCAGGTTGACCCCCTGGACCACACAAGTTTGAGACCATACTCAGGACCTTTCCAGCTTGCTAGGACCATATGGCTTTCCAGCAGAGACTCGACCATGCCAGACCCGTTTGGGGATCTGAGGAAGCCTATGGACCCCTTCTTGCAATATTTTAAATGCGAGGATTACAAAGGAGACCAATTATATTAAAATGTAGTCACTGAGAGACTGAAAAAATAAATCCATGGGCTCCCTGCATTATCTCCCCTCCCTCTTTTTGACACTGCCCATTATCCTCTCCTTGAAGCCTAAACTCACACGGCTTCCTTTGGAGGCCTATGCAGGCTCCTCCGCCGGTGGGCACTTCAAAAGCTTTCCTACTCTGAGCATGGGATCCTCGTACTCTTAGATCCCTTCAGAGGCCGTCTCCTGGAAGAGGCTCTTCCTGATCTCCCAGTCTGGGTTTTCCCTCCTCCTCACCCCTCAAAATACCCTGCATCTGCTATATTTTGTATTTATTCTTGTGCTCTCCTGAAGGGGAGAGACAATTACTTTTTTGTCTTTGGCTCTCCAAAGTCGAACACAGCGCCTAGCACACAGTGGGTGCTTGCTGAATTGATGTGACGTGATTTTGCTCAGAGTCTCCCACTCCAGCTGAGCTGTCATGAGATCTCAGAATGGAGAGGACGGTGGAGAGTGCTCACTTGCTCACTCCCTGCCTGGCAGCTCCTCGGCACTTTGAGGTCCGCAGAGCACTAGAAATAGGATCTCATTTGATCCTCCCAACAACAGCCCTGAGAGAGAGGTGCTGTTACTCTCCCTATTTTACAGATGAGGAAGCTGAGGCAGAGAGCAGTGAAGAGTCTTGTCCAGGATCACACAGCTAAGAAGTGTCTGAGGTTGGATTTGAACTCAGGTCTTCATGACTTCAGGTCTCATGTTCTATCCACTTTATCACCTGTGACCTGTGACTGACCCCTCCCCCCAAGGTGATCATCCAAAGTGGAAAGATAACAGACAGATAGACAGACAGACAGATATCTCAATGTAAGAGCAAACTCACACATGATGGTCCTCATACTAGAGTTTCCCCTCATGTTGCCTCATATTCCCTTACTTGGAATCTCCTTTAAATACCACCTGTAACTCTTAGGAGTAACAGCGATAAAACCAGAACAGTCACAATGAGCACTCAGGACTCTGAAAGCCTTTGTGTTTTTTGGTTTTGTTTTGTTTTTTTTGGCTAGGCAATGGGGTTAAGTGACTTGCCCAGGGTCACACAGCTAGTAAGTATTAATGTGTCTGAGGCTGGATTTGAACTCAGGTCCTCCTGAATCCAGGGCCGGTGCTCTATCCACTAGGCCACCTAGCTGCCCCTTGGCAAGCCTCTGTGCAGCACCTTTGAGCTACCAAGTGCAATGGACTGCCTTGATAGGTTCTGGGTTCCCTCTCCTCAATGCTTCGAGGAGAAGCTGGAGGGGCACTGGTCACAAATGTTACATGAGAAATTCCCACTCAGCTATGGGCTGGGCATAATGGGATTCCAGGACATCACTGTGTACGCAATGCTAGGCAAAGTGCTAGGAGTGGACAGAACTCCAGGGTTGTGGGGAGAGAAAATATCCCTGAACCAGTTATGTCCCAATGAAAGGCAGCATGCCCAAACTGCGTGATACCTAACTTTCTAGCGTTATGTCCCACGATGCTCCTCCATAAACCCCTTGATACCATTCCCCACTGGAATAAACTTCCTCTTCACCTATCCAAAATGCTATTCACTGTTCAAGGCTCAAACCCAACTCTTTCAAGACACTTTCCCTGACAACCCCCCCCCCGCCAGCCCTTGCCACCCCAAGTCCTGGAGTTCTTATTGTACATTGTATATTATAGTGGGAGGACCTGGGTTCAAAACTCAGGTGACCATGGGCAAATCACTTGACCACAGCTTCCTCTTCTGTAAAATGGCTTCTAAGATCCCTTTCCAACTTTCAGTTTCATGCAACCCTCTCATTTTCAGGAGAGAGGGGTCCACGTGACATGCTCATTAATGTACCCAGGCCAGAGGCCTGGGACCCGTCCCACCCTCCCAGTGGTATGTGTACAGGAGAGCCGGAGGGCAAGGGGAGAATGAGAACATGTCCTACCCTTCACTGCCAATATCCTGCTTTTGTTTGTGGTAAACGTCCCCGGTTGGGTGATCCTGAGGCGGGGAGGGATGTCAGGTAGAGACGAGTACAGACAAGCAGGAGACGAGTCAGCTTGTTCAGAAGAATGCCTGGTTCAGAGGGTGGCACATGGTGTCTCTATGGAATACCTGTATGTGGCTATACTAAATGGATGTCTTTAAAGTCCAGATAAACGGCCAAAGCTCTGACCTACCACGGCATTCTAAGAACAATGAAGACTAGGGGAGGCAGCTGCACAAGGGCCTGCTAGCTCTCTCCTGACCCAGAAGGCCTAAAGATAATTCCAAAGAAGAAGGTCAGAAGAGTTTAAGGGAGGCTTCCTAATTAACCTTGGACTACAAAGTGTTACTTCTGCTAAGTCTTATTATGATTCCTGGCCATACCCTGGGCTCTCAAAGGTTATGCTTATACAAACTAGCTAAGTCTTAGCAAGCCAGAAACATAGGAATCCTGGCAATGGATCACTGCTCAATGGCTCATCACCAGAAGGCTGGCTGGTCACTAGATAATACAGCAAGGAAAACCCAACACCAAGAAACAGACACTAGAGGGTATAAATAAAATGAATTAATAAAACAAGCAGGAAGGGAGAAGGGAAAGACAGCCAAGGGAAGAAAAGAGAAGAGGCTCAAGATTAGGCACAGAAAAATGCATGAGCTTTCCTAAATTCTGCAGGCCCCCCTCAGGGAGATGACACAATCCCATTCATGGGCCTAGTATTAGAAGGAGCATCACTGAACAAAATGAACCTTAGAGGAGGGGCTCCTCACCTCTGCTGGGCCATGGACCCCCTGGGCAATCATTCTGGCTAAGGCCATGGGCCCCTTCTCAGAACCATGTTTGTAAATGCACAAAACAGAACAGGATTGCAAGGGAAGTCAATTACACCGAAATAATTACCCAAAAAAGAACCCTAGGAAGAAGGTCTCACTATGGATAGAGCCTCGGGCCTCTGAGCCCCCTGTGCGCAGGGCTAACACAGCTCCTCAAGGCCAGTTAGCCTAGGTCAGAGTCTAGGCCTTGGCTGGTGCCACACCAGTAACAGTCAGAGGAAGAGCTTCGGTGTTATAGAGATTTCAAGCTGGCAAAGTGCTGGACCTATATCATCTCATCTGAAGCTCACCACAACCCCATGTGGTTGGTGCGGCCCTCACCATCATCTTTTTACAGATGTTTGTGAAACACGTTGAGAGAGATGAGGAGGCTTGTCCAGAGTCTCCCAGCCCTGGACTAAGTCCTCTGACTAGAAGGCCACTCCTCTATCCACCCCACCCCCTGAGGAGCAGCAGGAGGCGTCCCAAAAGAACCGCCTTCCGTCTAGCAACAGCTGCCCTGCGTCCACAGTGACTACTCTGGGCTAGGCACTAGGAGAGAAAAAGCAGTCTGACGCAGGGTCGCCATTCTTAGGACATTCCTAGTGGCCTGACGTTCTTCTCAATGCCTGACCTCAAGTTCCTATGACCATGTTTTCAGTCTTCCTAGAAAAATCAGAATCCAGCAGAAATGGAAGCTAAGAATGTCCCAGTATAAATCCACTTTGGGGGGGTGGGAGTCTGGGGGAGGTGGCATTCCTGGGACTTCATTCCCCAGAGCAGAGCAGGCAGGAGTTTTATTTGAAATCCCCTTTGGGGTCTGGGGAGCAGGGGTCAACAATGAATATGCCCTAGGGCCAGGCTCTGCTTGGAGAGGAGAAACCTGTAAAGTATTTCTGGAGTTTTCCCTTTGGGTTCCAAGAGGATGAAAGTTGGGCCTCAGAAGTTAATATTCCCTTAATACTAAACAGCTCACATTTCCATCAAGCTCTATAGCTTTTCTTAGAAGAATCCAGTGAAGTGGGTCACATAAAAGTATTATTATTGATATCTTAGAAATGAGGGGCCTGGAAAGTCATGTGACTTGCTCAAGGTCCCACAAATCCCAGACCCCCAGCTGTGGACTGATGGTTCAACCCTCTCCTTTTTAGATGCAGAAAACCAAGCTCTGAAAACCTGACCAACCTGCCTCCAGCCTCCAAGTGCCAGGCCTGGCCCTTCCTGGGCCATCTTGCCTCCCAGCTGAAGAACGGGGAACACCAACCAGATCCTGGGGTCAGTTTGTGGGGGGAGGGAGCCCTGGGCTGAATTCCTCTGGTCAAGTGACAAATCCTGCTTTGTGAATAATGGTCT